GCTGAGGGCGCCGGCCGCCCGAGCCTCGGGGAAGGCGCGCCCCTCGGCTGGGCGCCGCGGGCAGCATGGGGCTCCCCGCGCTCGAGTTCAGCGACTGCTGCCTCGACAGCCCGCACTTCCGAGAGACTCTCAAGTCTCACGAAGCGGAGCTGGACAAGACCAATAAATTCATCAAGGAGCTCATCAAGGACGGGAAGTCACTCATCGTCGCGCTCAAGAGTGAGTGCCCCAGCCCGGCGGGGACGGGGACCCGGGCGGAGGGGTCTGTGGGGCGACGCTCAGCCCAGGTCTCCCGCCGCGCCCGGTTTCGCCCCGGGCAGTGGGTGACGGGGGTCTAGGCTTCTGCTGAGGCCGGAAGGATACGCGAAGCGGGCGAGCCGGTCTCCTCAGATGAGGAAGGAGCGGTCGCACAGCCGTTTGCGTCCGGGGATGGCCGGGAGGGGACGGGACGCGGCGGTGCTGCGGGGCAGGTGGGTGTGCACGGCACACAGGTGTCCTGGTCGTGGCACTCTTGTGCCCAGACTGCCGCAGCCCTCTGGGAAGCCCATGGCGTCCACGACTCCGGCCCCTGTAGGGGAAGAGGAGCTCAGCTGTAGGTGCCCAGCCGTGGGAGTGGAGAGTGGCAGGGGGTCGCTACCTCCCCCAGTTGAAAGGCGGGGCGTGACTGTGTTGCTCTCCGTGGGCATCTCCAGCCTGCTGAGGCCGCTGGGTTTTCTGGGTGGAATGGTTGGTTCTCTCCCCATTCCTTGGAGTACTGGCAACGGTAACCTCCGGATCTAGAATCAGTGCCATGTACGTGTGCAGGTTCTGATTCTTGTGTTTAGCAGAAGGTGACAGGGGTGGGAGTAGAGAACCAGAGTGTTCCTTTACTCTAAACTGTGGGCGAGGGTTTAAAAATAGAATGAACATATCCCATCTCTCTCCCTCTCCTGTTCCTTCTCTCCACTTTTTACTTCTCCCATTATCCTTGAAACCTCGAAGATCTGAGAAGAAATAGCCTCACTACCTCAGGAAGGGGAAGCTTAAATTCAGGTTCTTGACCTTTTTAAAAAAAAAAACGTTTTTGCTCTTTTCCCTCTTGGTACAAGGGGAGAAATGAAATTTGCATTTTGCTTAATTTTTACAGAGCCACGGGTTTCTCCTTCTGGTCAGTTAAAGTGCTCTGAGGATGAGCCCCTTGCATCGTGAGCATGTATTCTGGTTCCTTTTCAGTGTACGTATTAAAAAGTAGTTAGGTCCATCTTTTCATTTTGAGAATCCGGAACAGCATGAAGGCAGATAATGGAATTTTCTTTGACTCTTTTTTCCTGTCTCTATGCTGGATTTCCTAATAGGTGATATCTTCCAGTTTAGAAAGCTTGCCTTCTCAGAGTAGGATCCTAGCTGGGAGAGTTGTCCCCAGGCCTCTTTATAGGAGACTGTATAGAAGCCAACTCCCAGAGGTGTCATTTTGTGAGACTGTTTCTTCTAAAAATGAAGCAAGAGGGGCCGGAAGTGCAGTCTTTTGGGGGTGAAATGAACGACGGGACTGTGATATGAGGAGCTTTCCAGGGACAGGGGCTGCGAAGGGGGCGAGGGACTCTGTAGGAAGCTGTGCCTTCCTTGAAGCATAGGAACAGAGTATTCCTGTTTCAATGGCAAGGATCATCCTTGAATCACACAACACTGGATTGAAGTAACAGTAAGGACCCATTAATGAATTGGATTTAGGCATTTTGATTGACCCTCAGGCCAGCTTTAATTGGTCCTCAGCTTCACTCAACAAACATATAGAGAGCCTGCTGCGTGCTGGGTACTGCACTGGACACTGGGAATGTGATATTCTGTTACCCCTTGGTGCAGAGACATACATTCCATGCCAGGCACTGCTTCACCCATGTACCAAGCCTGTTAGAATTTGGAATTGCATCTCAGCGCTGAATTTGTGGTGTTGCATTTGAGTGACTGGCATTTTGCCTATTGCTATTTTGGGGGAGGCCAGGATTCTGTGTGGTTGTGTGGATGTGTGTATTTATTTATGTGGTGCTGGGGATTGAACCCAGGGCCTTGCACTTGCTAGGCAAGTGCTGTACCACGGAGCCCTAAGAATTCTTTAGGAAGCATTGTAGTGATGGAAGCGTTGTAGTGATGGAGTTCAGGTTAAATTACCTAATGGAATGGAGCAGCCCTGTAATTTAGGGGAAAGATTGTTGGAAACTGGGTGTTCTGGTCTCTCTATATCTGGCTCTACAACTAACAGTGCTTCTCTACTACTGCTTACTACTACTGAGCAGGGCATATGAATTCTTAAAATAAAAAAGGCAGGATCAATCACCGCGTCCTAGATTTCAGGCATTCTTTTATGAGTGCTTGCCTCTAAACTGCCATATTAGTATTTGTGTGACATTTTTCTTTAGATCATCTTCATCATTATTGTAAATGGGAAGCCAGTGGTTTTCCAGTATAGCTTAAAGATAAATACATAATTATACATAATTACATAAGTAATAGTGGTTTTATGGTTTTATTTTATGGCTGTGTTTATAACTAGTATTTGCAGATCTTTGGATTTAGATTTCCTTTGTGTATGAATCAGAGACAGTGAAACTGGCCTGCAGGGATCGGCAGAGTTCAGCTGGGTCATTGTTTTGGTACTTCTGCTTTATGAATGAGGAAACTAAGGGACAGAGAAGTCAGGAACCCACCCAGAGTGACATAGCAATTAAAGGTATTTAAACATAGATTGTCAAACTTCAAAGATATTTCATTTCACCCTGAAGCAACACTGTCATTTAGATCAGCCTAAGTCAGGGGTTTCCCTACCTTTAGCTTTGGAATTCCCTAGAGAATATGATGAGAGGGATGGACCTCATAAAAATGAACCTCTTGAACTCTTTCTGTGAAGTATAGACTCCTGGTATGGACACAGAGAGAATAAAATAATTGAAGACAAACATTTAAAAAATATCTTGCCCTTGGAGAAAGTTCTTGTTCACAATGGAGTTGAGCCTTGGCAGTCAGTTGCTTCTGCTCCTGTCCTTTTTTGTGGGGACTCATACCCCTAGGGCCTTTCCTTCGGACCTGATAGTTGTCTCAGTCAAGAAGATTCTGTATCAGTCTTTTGTTTTTCTTTTATACTGTAGAGGTAATAAAGGATGGAAGAGTTTTAGGATTTCCTGGGTCAAATCTCGACCCCATCACTTATTCATTGCTTGATTTTGGGCATGTTGCTAAGCTGAGTTCTGCTTGGTAGAGTGGGACTAGCCACACTGACTTTGTAGAGTGGTGAGAAATGGAAGCAGTGCATGTGTAGAAAGCTCTTAGCTTGGGGCCTGCTACATTGCAGTGCTCAATTATTGGTAGCTGGTGTCGCCATCTTCCAGCATTCAAGGCTGTCAGGATTGGTGATTCTCAGAGGATAGGTCATTAAGTGCAGGGTGCAAGGAGTTAGGCTAGTACCTTGCTGTGTCAGTCGCCGGTAACTCAGTTTTGTGTGTTTTAGCCGTTGGTGGACAGAATCCTGGTGTTTGGGTTAAGTTGTGGTTATGTTAAAAAAAAAACCAACAACTCCACAAGTTAAAAAGCAACAAAATAGATAAGCCTTACATCTCTTGTGTTCCTAAAGATAGTCTGGTAGCTTAAATTTTCACCTGTTTTGATAAATTGACTTGCCCTGCTCTGGACTGGCTGCCTCTCTCAGCCTTGCATGAAAAGCTTGCAAAATAAGTTGGATCTCGAATCTGATTATCTCATGAACTCTGTGGCAAACCTAATGTGGTTTCATAGAAATAGAAGTGCATTTGACTGTTGATTTTGAGGGATGATGTGGGTTTTCAGGAACTGTTTCTTCCTATTAAGACTGTGGAGTTCTGGATTTGGGGGTATACCAAGTTGCTGGGGACAAACCCATTTACATTTAGCTTCCGCTTTTTGAAACAGTACCTTTATGCTAGATTAAGCTTAGTGGGGAGTGTGGAAATGCAGTTATTCAGATATCCTCTTTATTGAGGTATAACTTATCATCATACTACTCACCCATTTAAAGTATTCATTTCAAAGGTTTATAGTACATTCATGGAGTTGTATAGCCATCATCATAACCTTGGAACATTCCTTGTTTTCTACCAACCTCTGTGTGTACCAATATGCAACCATAGTTAAACACTGATGTATTTTCTGTCTCTGTAGCATTGCCTGTTCTGGACATTAGAAATACAGTTTTAATAATTTTTTCCTGGACATTGGTGAGCACCTTGAGGCACAGGGTTTTTGACTGGAATTTCAGATGGGGAAACTTTGAATCAATAAACTGTTCTCCTTCTCATTCAGGGGGTCTAAGTAGAGGTGAGGACCCAAAGATGGAACTATGTTCTAGGGCAGTGGTGGTGAACCTCGAACTGTGTGCTAGGGCACGTGTGCTGCACCAGGCTGTTCGTTATCATTGAAAGCTCTAAAAGGTTTACCATCACTGACCTGGAGAGACCCAGATGCTCCTTGGTGTTTTCAGCCTGTGAGAGGGGAATGGATTCATTTTAGTTCGAGATACTTTGATGGGTGCATAGGGAATAACAAAAAACAAGACTGAGAATTCGACCTTTTCTCTCTGAGTTTTTGGCCAAGTTGGGTCAAAGTATATGATACCAAACCAAGGTGTACTTTGTGGTTGCTCTTCTGCTTGGTGACATTTTAAAACAATTACTAAATGAAATAAATGTATTTGTGTTTCTGTATTTGAGCTCATACTTTCTATGAAACTTTTTGGGGATGTGTGCCTTTTTCATTGAATTTTCATAGGTTAGTACTTCTGAGATCTCTGTCCTTTGCCTTATATCACACCCCCAAGTTAATTTTGATAGGAACACTTTATGTACAATGCCAGTATCTTTTGTTTTATTGAACATTTACCAAATGCCAAGTCCTATGATAAGTGCCACACATTATGATTCCCATAGCAGCGTCCTGCAAGATAAATACAGTTGACTGTCAGTATTCCTGGGGCATTGGTTGTAGGACCTCCTATGGACATCAGACTTACATGCTTTTGTCTCATATTATATATTTATAGTATTTACATGTAACTTATATTTATCCTCCTGAATACTTTAAGTCATCTCTAATGTACTTATAATACCTAATACAATGTCACTGGTATGTAAGTAATTGTTATACTGTGTTTTTTAGGGGAATAATGACAAGAAAAAAATGTCTAAGCATGTTCAGTACAGATGCATTTAAAAGAA